TTTTTGTGGTAAAATTAGGTGCCTCGGCTTATATTCGGGTCGGCCTATACTCGAGTATATACGGTAGTAATTTGATTGGTGGCTAAACATGCCATTCCAGGCATCTGCCTACACTCGTCTAAGCCAATAGGTGCCAGCTATTTACCCAGGGCAAAGCAACAAATCTCACTCTAGTAATAAAAACCTACGTATACCAGGAGCATAAGCACAAGAGCCAAGGACAAAGCTTGAATAGGCAAATTGCTTATATAATTGATAAGAAAATAGTCCTGATTAACAAAGAAAATCAGCTACTAGATATTTATATGTAGTAGCTAATACACATCAGATATGGGGGTTGAAGTCCTGCATCTTTTTATCCTGCCTTTACTGGTTTTAGACAATGTGCCATTCATTTTATGACCTCAGATGTAGAAGGCACCTGCGTAGGAGTTTGATGGTACTCCTTTCTGGCTTCAGGCCCTTTTGTTTACAGCCCTGACAACTACAGTCCTTGCAGGCAGATTTAACTGGTGTTTTTTCTTCTCTCTCTCCAGAGGCAATGGTTAGTGAGATGGTAAACAAAGCCAGGGAAATTCACCAATCACATGCCTTAACAGGCCACATTAAATCAGTAGTGACAGGACCAGTTGCAGCATCCTTCTGTGGCAAAATAGAAATTGGCAATGAGTGCAGCAAATTTTATGCTGGCTTGGCATACTTTATTGCTGGAGAATAGCACTTTAATATTTTGCTCTTAATACATTCATTTATCAGAAGCTTACAGTTTCATTACATTTTGCAATTTATTGTGATAAAACAAATCTATCTTCTCTACAGTCATGAGGAATTCACGTTCCCCTTTCCTTTTTCGATGCAACTATAAAAAGAAATTAGAAGGTTTCATGTCTAATATTGATTAACCATAGTTTAGCAGTATCTTCATAAGCTAAAGTCCAGCTGACCTTCTAATTATGGCTTCCATGAGCTGGCAAGGAATCATGTAACTGTAGATGTAGCAATTAGATTTTGGTTGTTCTTCTACTTAAGAAAAATATTAGGACATTTTTAATACCATAGTATCAACCCCAGCCAGTCATTTTGGAGATATTTTTTTCTCAAATGACACAGGTCCTTCTCTAATTTAATGCTTGTAGTTGTGAATACAATAGAGCAACTTTCATTGCATATTTTGTATCTTATTTTACACAATATTTAAATTTTCATAGCATTAGCTCTTATGTTAATTGTTTCAATATGTAACTTGGAGAATCACTTAAGAATTAATATTTTAAAATTTGTGTTTAAAACAGAGCAACTTTATATATTGCAGTCCGATTGGTTTATTTCCAACAACCTTTAGGCACCAGAGGTCTTATTCTAACATAGCAAAGGTTAATTAAAAACAAAAGAAAGTAAAAATTATTTCCATCACAATACTCTGAGTTAACATAATGCCTAATATTGACATTTTGTATACTGTTCTTCATTTCACCTGAATCATCAAAACCATACTGTAGTGTAGTGTTTCAGTGTGGCTTAGCCTCCAAGATGAGGGATGCTCAAACAGGAATTTTCCTACACCACATATTTTCCTGTTAGGAGAACTTTGCTCATACTTCCTGATTTCCTCCACATTACCTGCTTAATCCAGTAGAAAATCTTTTTCAAAATACTTTTCACAGAGGCTCCAGATGAGGCAATTGTCAGAGCATTGCATCAATGTTTTATATATTGTTTTCCTGTCTTTTGCAATCTCTCTCAGGGATCTCTCCAGGAAGGGGGGGGGGGTGTCAAAAAGTTAATATGGCAGCCACATCCATGTGATTGAAGCCCCACCCTTTTTGTGAGCAGAATGTATGGAAAAATTGGCAGGGCTTTGATTGCATGGTTATGGCTGCCATATTGACCTACCTGCAGAGTTAGGCTGCTGTTCTTGCTTTATAGATGATGGTAAAAAAGTAGTATTTGAGCAATCATAGTTTCTAACAACCCTTTGTTAGAAAAAAACCCTTTGTTAGAAAAAACCCTTTGTTAGGAAAAAAAAAAGTTTCAAACTGGAAATATTAATACATCCATATAGCCACAATCTTCAAATGACATCTGATATTTTCCCACAGCTAATGAAGCTGGAGAGACAGCCCTTGATATTGCTAAGCTACTGAATCACACTACATGTGAAGATCTGGTAAGCAACAACAGGTTCAACACAAATATCTACATTGTCCTAAGGCCTTGATAGGTGTCTGGATAATGTGCTCCAGACATACTGTAGCACAGTGGGTCTCAAACTTCCTAATGCCGCGACCCTTTAATACAGTTCCTCATATTGTGGTAACCCTCAACCATAAAATTATTTTATGTTTTCCATATTTTTTTGAAAATATGTGTTTTTCAATGGTCTTAGGCGACCCCTTTTGAAAGGGTCGTTCAACCTCCAAAGGGGTCGCGACCCACAGATTGAGAACCACTGCTGTAGCAATAGGCAGCATGTTTTCAAAATACAAAGTATGTTGAAACTATTATAGCTCTGCTGTATATGTGCCTTTTTTTTCAGCTTTCATCATAATCTCTTCTCTAATAGGTATTTAGTTTTATTTAGCATAGCACTTAATCATAAATTGTAAGAGCAGAACCATGTTAAGTAAAAAGAAACACTGAAATATATTGAATCATAATCACAACTGTGGTTGTGACTCAATATATTAAAGTGTTTCTATTTTTATATGATTTATGTGCATGATCATTGCCTAAAGAGGATAGAGTAACAGATTCTACTCACTTGCAAACAAAAATTAGAACTGAATTAAAAGCAGAGCAATTGTTCTACGTAAGATTACTCTGAGTTCATAGCACAGTATTTTATAGTAGTGTGATTACATACTAGTGTGACATGCTCTGAAGTCTGCTACTGGTCCGAACTGGTAGCATTTCATCCCTGATTCCTTCCTTTATTTTCTCTGCGACTGCCTAATTTCCATTGAAAATCCCAAAAACCAAAGAAAACAGCTATTAGTCCAATGGGGTTAGAAATGCTAGGAACTTTCCCCACACAAAATGATCGTGAGCAGAGGTGGAATGTTCTGTATCTTCCAGTTATTGCAGGCTGAAAATAATCAGTTCAATATGCGGGCCCATGTTGAATATGAATGGCAGCCAGGCCAAGAGGAGATGTTTGAAAGTGATGATGAATTGGATGAAAAGGTAAGATCTCATCACTTCTGGTTCTGGCTGAAATGTGTAAGTATTAATTATTATTTTATTATTTTATTATTTTATTGGTAATGGTACAGATTTGGCACTCTATTAATGGGTTTTTATTAGATATCTGTGTGTGTGTGTGTGTGTGTGTGTGTGTGTGTATTTGTTTTCTGAGATTTTCGCGGGTTTTAGTATGTAGGTCTTTGATTATTCAGGTTTTCTCCCTGAAAAATTGGAAGTGTCTTGGTGACGTTTCGACGAAGTCTCATTCGTCATCTTCAGGCTTGTTTGCTCGGCTTCGTGTAAAAGCCGTGTATGTATGTATGTATGTATGTATGTATGTATGTATGTATACACACACACACACACACACACACACACACACACACACACACACACACACACACACACACACACACACACATATATATATATATATATATATATATATATATATATATATATATATATATGGGGGGAGGGAGGGAGGGAGGGAGGGAGGGGGATAGAGAGAGAGAGAGAGAGAATATTTCATTTGAGCATATTTCATTTGGTGGTTAAGTGGCTACTCACAGATTTTCACAGATTTTCATCCAAAAGTTGTGCTCCAGATAGACTACCTGTTACTATATATTTAAGATCACCAATTTAAAGAGGATGTTTTTCCTAATATAATGTTCCCAAATAGGATAGCAATAGCACTTAAACTTACATACCATTTCACAGTGCTTTACAGTCCTCTCTAAGTGGTTTACAAAGTTTACATTGCCCCCAGAAACCTGGGTGCTCCTTATACCCACCTCGGAAGTATGGAAGGCTGAGTCAACCTGGAGCCTGGTGAGATTCGAACTGCCAAACTGCTGGCAGGCAGCAGTCAGCAGACGTAGCCTGTAGTACTGCATTCCAACCACTGTGCCACCTTGGCTGATACAAATATATGAATATAAATAAAACTTTATATCTTGAAATCTTTAACTTCATTTTTCCAGTAATGTAGGTTTACTTGTATCTTTCAGCTCTGTCTGGTGAAAAAAGATCGCTTTCATCGCCCACAAAGCTGCTACAATGTTCTTGGGACAGCCTCTCAGTCATGGAAGAATCCAGCCGACTTTTTCAGAGGGACCAATCCAGCATCCCAGGACAAATGCCATGATTTATATGCTACACCACATGCCTCTAGATCTGCTGAAATAGCATCTCCTCCCACTTATGCCTGTTCAGGCCCTCCACTGCCACCACGCAATGCACCCAGAGGTATGACGGTACTTTTGGTATACCTTTGTATATTAGTCTTAGAATTGTTATCAATTTTTTTCATCTTAATTTTAGTAAAAGTATGCTAATCTATTTTAGGGACACGGTGGCTCAGTGGCTAACACAGTGAGCTTGTTGATCAAAAAGGTTGGCAACTCAGCGGTTCGAATTCCTAGCCCCGCGTAATGGAGTGAGCTCCCGTTACTTGTCCCAGCTTCTACAGTCTAGCAGTTCAAAAGCACGTAAAAAGTGCAAGTAGAAAAATAGGAACCACCTTTGGTGGGAAGGTAACAGCGTTCCATGCACTTCAGCATTTAGTCATGCTGGCCACATGACCACGGAGACGTCATCGGACAGCGCTGGCTTTTTGGCTTTGAAACAGGGATGAGCACTGCCCCCTAGAGTCAGAAACTACTACCACATATGTGCAAGGGGAACCTTTACCTTTACTAATCTATTTTAATATTTAATGCAATCTGCGTAAAACAATACTTATGCTTTAATCTAAATACAGTAGTTGAATCTATTTTCCTTATTTGCTTCTTACAGTTTATTAAGATTTCTGAATCTGAATTAATCTGAATTAATTGAATGTCTTTCTCAGCCCCCAGCTTCCCTCCGCCATTACCCCCAACCAGCAAACCTGCCTATCTTGTAAATACAGCAACTGAAAGAGCTGTGCCTCCACCTCTGACCATTAGGCATAAGCGGACCTCTTCAGAGCCTGTCCCCTCAACGCCACTGAATCACAGTCCTTCTGATGGTAAGCGAGCCTACTGAACCTTACAACTGGAAAATTTACTGTTGTTCAACAGGGAAAGACTAAAATAAAGAGATACCATATTTTTGGGAGTATAAGACGCACCGGAATATAAGACACACCAAGATTTTGAAGAGGCAAAATAAAAAAAAAGTTTTTGCACTCTGCAGACCTCCCCAAAATGGCCTGTTTTTGGCAAAAATTGGCCCATTTTTAGCAAAACAAAGGGCATGCATAGCCTTCAGGAGACTTATAGAGTGCTCCTGGGGGTTGGGGGGGAAATGAGTGAAAAACGGCCCATTTTTTGCTCATTTCTGCCCTCCCCAGCCCCCAGGAGCACTCTGGAAGTCTCCTAAAGGCTATGCACAGCCATTTTGGTGAAGGGGACGGGGTTTCGGGAGGCCAAAAATGCTGTATTCAGTGCATAAGACACACCCAGATTTTCACTCTCTTTTTTGAGGGAAAAAGATGCATCTTATACTCCAAAAAATACAGTATATGAAGTGGCTTTATACTGATTCAGTTAACTGATCCATTATGCTTTTGACACTGGTTATACTATGTTTCTAAATCATTAGACAAGGTTCGCTTCATAACTGAGGAAAAATAGCTTTGATTCTGTTTTTTTTGTCAGATTCTAGATCTTTCTCACTTCCAAGGCGCTGCTCTCCAGAAGGAGCTTCTCCTAGGAGTTTCAGGTAATTGTGTACACATAATATGCAGAACTGAATTAAAAGTGCTACCTGTCTGAAGCTGGGTTTACTCTAAGGGTACATCCTGGTTTTGAATAGCATCTAAGAGATTCTTACATTGATTGCGTGTGAGGCAGGGGTGATATTCAACAGGTTCTGACAGGTTCTGGAGAACCGGTAGGGAAAATTTTGACTAGTTCGGAGAACCGGAAAATACCACCTCTAGCTGGCCCCAGAGTGGGGTGGGAATGGAGATTTTGCAATAATCTTCCCCTGGAGTAGGGTGGGAATGGAGATTTTGCAGTATCCTTCCCCTGCCACACCCACCAAGCTACCGAAGCAGTAGTAAAAAAAATTGAATTTCACCACTGGTGTGAGGTGATTGGTAATGGGAATATAAAAGCTACTCTGGCCAAAATAATCATTAGCACTGTTCTTCTTTTCCTTATCAGCCAGCAATTGGGAATAGCTGGCATTTTGGAAATCTCTTAAGGGTATTTTGTGAAAGCAAATTTAAACTACTTTGCATTAGACTGGGATTATCTACACAGAGGCTATCATTCAGACATGTTCAGTAGCAAGTAGCAAGTGGAGGATTAGTAATCTATATATAAATATACATTACATGCACACAGACACACACACACATATACAATATGTATGTGTGTGTGTGTATATGTATGCATGCATATAATTTTCCTCTCCCTCTCCACCTGCATTATTTCCCTCAGTTCTCAGCCATCTGAACTCTCTGAAGATTCCTGGCAGCAAGGTAAGATGATTTATTTTAAATATACTATTTATTTGTAACTGAGAATTGGTATCTCTTTCTTCAGGGAGGCATTTCAGTTGTGAAGAAAGTCACCCTACATAACTGCCTTCAATAGTTGGGCGGGGGAAGAAGATTGCGAAAAATACTTTATCAAAATTTATCATTATGAAAAGTAGTGCTACAGAAAGTGCAATTATATGAGTACTATAAACTTTGCATGGATAGCATGTAGAAATTAATAGGGAAAAGTTTGCCCATCCAACTTCAGAAATATTCATCACATTATTTAAACCCAGAAAGTCATCTACTTCACAGTGTATCCTAAAATAATAATAATGTTATAAAGTATTTTTGATAGCTAATTATGATCAAAATCTCTGATTTGGAAATTGAGTAGTTACAGGTGGAACAGATCAAAGAACTTTTTTTTCATGGGATAAAGTGGTTACGCCATATTAAGTTATTCCCAACTGCTTTTAAGTATTTTGACAGATGCTACATATTTCTTCCAAAACACATTTTGCACTTCAAATCTGACTTCTCTTTAGTCATAATCAACACTTTTGCTTTCTTGTGTGATGTCATCCTCACCTTTAAAACTAATAATTTTAGAAACAATAAAATCAAAACTATCACTAATATCTCTTGAGGTCCTTGCTTTCTCCAGTCGAATTTTGTTACATTCCATCTGTGCCAGGATCCTAAATAGCTTGTAGTTATTTGAAGTTCATGAGACTGGTTTCCATCCCATCTTCTTCAGGATTAGTTCTCCTGCCAGTTCCCCAATTTTAGGCCATCAAAACTGATTTTCAACTAGGATTGATTTATGGTCTCAAACTTTTCTAGAATAATGTCATCTCTTCATAAAACGTATCAGGTTTTTTTTAGGGGCGGGGTTACAAATAGTAAACTTTGGAGACTTTGGGATCTGACCCTTCCAGAAAATGTAAAATTATAGCTTTATATTACAGTATACATTATCCTGAAGATACTGCCATTAGGTTCATCACATTGTGACAAATAAGCCTACCATAAAATGGTAGATTTTAGATAACTAAAAAATCAATCTTGCACTCTGTCAGGCTTCAAGTGTCCATTTCTGGGCCTCGTTCAAACTCATCCTGACATTCATTCATTCATTCATTCATTCATTCATTCATTCATTCATTCATTCATTCTCTCTCTCTCTCTCCCTCCCTCCCTCCCCCCTCTCTCTCT